ACTCATTTTGATATGGAACTAGGCGACTTAAAGGCCGATTGAAGGAATACTCATTTTGAGATGACCCTGAATTTTGAAAATCTATACAATTTTTCTCAAGATATTATAGAAATAGCCGATTGATGGAGTAATTCAAAGGTATTTTGTTAGATTTCTTTTGCAAATTTAGAAATCTTCGCAGATTGTGAAAATATTTTCATTCTGCAGATTGAGGGAAATATTTTTTATGTTGGGAAAAGAAGGATAAACAACATATATTAGTTTCCAATCATATTCTTAGTTCATTCGAGGAAATTGCACCATTGTTTCCCAACATGAATGTGCAAGATTTTGACTTTTAGTGTGAGTTATGCATTGATGGAGCAACCCCAACTTTTAGTTGTGTAAAATAAATTGGTGAATAAGCTAAAGCAATAATTAATTACCCAACTAGTTAAATGAGTTTCTTCGAAGTTGGATTTTGGTAGAAGTGGGAGATTTTATATTTTCATTTGTATCATTTAAAATTATGATTCAGAAGTTGAAAGTTATCTCTCAAGCTTGATCCTTTGATTAACTTGTTTGACCACATTGGCTTTGCACTCTGTATGGTTATAACCATGTTCGAAAATCTTCACTCATAGATTTTCTTCACCAAATCATTGCTAGCCATCAACCTTTATCATAGCAATCAAACATGAATGTTTACCAACATTAATGCCTTCATAGCAAATTGATCTTCTACAGAATCAATGCTCAATAACATGAATGGTCTAAATCTTTTGTTAAATCGTTACGTAGCCTTTGGATGTTCAACGTTATACAGCTCAGATGTTTAACGTTGAACATAGCAATCAAACATGAATGTTTACCAACATTAATACCTTCATAGCAAATTGATCTTCTACAGAATCAATGCTCAATAACATGAATGGTCTAAATCTTTTGTTAAATCGTTACGTAGCCTTTGGATGTTCAACGTTATGAAAGGTCCTTGAGAATGACACTTGTGTTGTTATTGAGATGAAAAGTTCTAAGAGAACGGCACAAGTGTTGTTACCGAAATATGAATATGTTCATGAGAACGACACTTGTGCCGTTACTGTGAAAAAACGACACTTCAGTTCGAGTCCCCTCAAGGCCACTGAGGTAAGTACCCGGCCATAAATTTCAGGGTCCCGTGAGATTAGTCTAGGTGCGGACAATTTGGCCTGGACATCCACGGTTATAAGCAACCACAACCCATCTATGCCTCCCGAGAATAAAATGGACACGTCTTTTCTCTATAAACAAGAGTATAAGCATCCTTTACAAGATGGACATGCCGTTTACAAAAGTTTAGAGATGTGCTCTTTAATTATATTTTTCTAACGAATCAATACAATTACTTCCGATTTCACCAACTTGATATTATATAATCAGTGTCAATTCAATCGTTATTTGTCACATGATCAACCTTTATGACTTTCTTAAATTATGGGATCCAATATTTGAGGTCGTTGAGTTGGAAAAGAAGCCAAATGTTGGAGAAATTAACAAAACGGCACACGGGCTATTAAATGACACTTGTGTCGTTCTATCTATAAAGACGAGTATAAGTAGCCAGATCTATCCATGCCCCAATAACCAATAAGTCGAACTCATTTCAATTGCAAGATGAATTTGCCGTTTACAAAAGTTGAGAGATGTGTTCATTAATTATATTTTCAAACGAACCAATACAGTTACTTGTGATTTTATCAACTCGATATCATATAATCTATGTCAATTCAACCGTTCTTTGTCATGTGATCAACCTTTGTGACTTTCTTTTCTAGGATATCCAATTTTTGAGGTCGTTGCGTTGGAAAAAGCAAAATGTTGGAGAAATCAACAGAATGACACAAGGACCGTTAAATGTCATGTGCCATACTGTCCATAAACACGGCCATAAGCAGCCCCAACCCATCTATGCCCCCGAGAACCAATAAATTGAACTCATTTCAATTGCAAAATGGACATACCGTTTACAAAAGTTGAGAGATGTGCTCATTAATTATATTTTCTAAAGAATCAATACAATGACTTGTGATTTCAACAACTCGATATCCTATAATCTATGTCAATACAATCGTTCTTTGTTACGTGATCAACCTTTCCGACTTTCTTAAGCTAAGTAATCCAATGTTTGAAGTCGTCGCGCTGGAAAAAAAGCAAAATGTTGGAAAATTCAACAGAACAGCATAAGAGCTGTTAAATGACACTTATGTTGTTCTATTTATAAACACAAGTATATGCAACCATGACCCATCCATGCCCCGAGAACCAATAAGTTGAGCTTATTTCATTTGTAAGATAGATATGTAGTTTACAAAAGTTGAGAGATATGCTCGTTAATTATATTTTCTAAAGAATCAATACAATGACTTGTGATTTCACCAACTCGATATCGTATAATCTATGTCAATACAACCATTCTTTGTTACATGATCAATCTTTTCGACTTTCTTAAGTTAAGTGATCCAATGTTTAAAGTCATTGCGTTGGAAAAGAAGCAAAATGTTGGAGAATTCAACAGAATGACACAATGGCTGTTAAATGACACTTGTTTCGTTATTTATAAACACGAGTATAAGCAACTACGACACATTCATGCCCCGAGAACTAATAAGTTGAACTCATTTCATTTGCAAGATGGACATGCCGTTTACAAAAGTTGAGAGATATGCTCATTAATTATATTTTTTAATGAATCATTACAATGACTTTTAATTTCACCAACTCGATATCATATATCTATGTTAATTCAACCATCTTTGTTATATGATCAACCTTTCTAACCTTCTTAAGTTAGATGATTCAATGTTTGAGGTCGTTATGTTGGAAAAGAAGTAAAATGTTGGAGAAATCAACATAACAACACAAGTACCGTTATTGATAATGACATTTGTATCGTTCCGTTTATAAACACAAGTATAAGCAGTCCCGATTCGTCCGCGTCCCAATAATTGATAAATTAAACTCATTTAAGTTGTAAGATAGACATGCCATGTACAAACTTTAAGAGATATGCTTATTACTTAATCAATATAAAAACAACAATACGGCACAAGTGCCGTTATAATGAAAACCGCACATGTGCCGTTACTGTAATGAAATCGGCACAGGTGCCGTTACCTGTGTAAACACGATATGAATAAATGATACCATTTAGATTTTGAAATAAAAAAGTTAAATAGTTTGCTCAAATATATATCAAAGTAATTTGAAAATAATTGTCATATTTATCAAAATAACCATATTATACTATCAATAACGGATAGGACATAACAAATAATGCTGTGTTGTTATTTTACATAGAAGATAATGACTGTAATGCCGTTCTACATTACAAATAATGGCTGAAGTGTTGTTATTGTTCTATAGTTGCCAAGAGCATAAAATACACCAATTACGAAAATAAAACCAATTAAAATATCATTTTGTACTGTATTCAACAATAAAAATGAGATTTCTAAAAGTAGCTTTCTTTTTTTGTCAAATATAGTAGAAATTTCAATGTAAATAATAGAGAAATCAAATTCTTGTTTAATTGCTCAAAAGATACCCAAAATAAGTGAACAATATAATAAATAACAAGATTTTAGCGTAACAAGCACATTAATGAAAGCACAAGGCGATGCGATTTTGGAGATGAATTGAGGAATTTGATTTGATTGATAGGGGTGTCAAGAGTCTTTTCCAATGGTGAGGGTGTTTTGGGTATTTGACATTATTTGTTTATTGCATTTTATAGTTGAAGGCCATTTGACGAACAAACATTGGAAGAAGGCTATTTCACCAAATACATTGATCCCCACTAGATTGGATTTGGCTCGGCCCCCTGATGGTGACCATCGATTTTTCATAATTAACAAATCAGGCTTGTTTATGGAATAACCAGAATCATTCAATTGATGCGTAGGAGCACTGCTGAATAGGAACAAATTTCGCAAACTGATATCCTACAGGCACATCCTTTACTTGAATCACTAGACCGTGGCTTATATTTGCAAGTTACTGTACATATAGAATGTGAATTTAAGGTTGTTGTGTATTGTATTGTGATACCAGTACTATTATTTGTGACCTTTATATGTGTAGAATACTATTTAGTAGAAATTTGGAATTGCAGTTTCAAACACTGAACAATATTCCCCAGAGAAGATAATTCACTATTTTCCTCCATTTGCATTTAGGGAAAGAGGTAATCTTCTACTTGTTCAAATTGTTAATTAATCTTTACTACTTGCAATCACAATAACTTTGACGTTGTGAATGCTGTACAATCGAATTTCCATGCCACCTGTTCGACAATATGCCTCGGAGAGAAATGCCCAGTATACTTTTCCATTCCTTTCTATATAAATGAAACTGCGAGAAACTCTATTACGAAAAATAATAAATTAAGAAGTTGCTGAGATTAAATACTGGTGGATATTGAAAATATTAGATATCTGAAAATTTTCGTCTAGCCATGGGGTGTCGTGTAAAGGACTATGAAAAATAGTAAACTATATAATGGATAAGTTGTTTTAGTTTTAGAGAGAATAATCTAGTCTGCATTTGGTTAATGTTATCATTTCTGAATTAAGATAGAATCCATGATGCTAATTTTTTGAAACCATCATCAAATTTGGTTCCAAAGGTTGCATCATCGATTTAGAATATTTTCAGGTTACACACGGTCAGTAAAAATGTAGTTAAACTTGTGATGCTGACTTGAAACTACGTCATAGAGTTGGATTTATTAGATATATGACCCTTATGAGGGACAGTACCCATTAGCTGCCTGCTAGGAAAGCTATTTGATCACATGCAATGCAATGTGGTGCTTGTGGAAGCAGCAGATGAATTGCTATTGGGATTTTGTCTTTTTCCCGTCAAGCAAATATCATTAGCAAGCAGGATTTTTTTTCCTTGTTTACCTCTTTATTTTCCTTGCTTATTGTTTTTATATAAAAAAATGCATTAATTATTGTCATCTCTAAGTTTTGTAGCAAATGGAAGTGGCAAGACGCAATTGTTGTATACTTGTGAGCTCTAACATCCAATTCAGCCGCTTCTTCTCTTGCGGTCTATTTGACCCCCCTCCCCTCATACCACCTCACAGGGTTGTTGTCACAGGTAACCTTTCTATTCTCCATCACATGTTATCTTATGAGCGATAATGCATCGAAGGTCTATTGGAGAGCAAAATGGAAGATACGACATGCTTGTCCCTATTGGGATATCAAAGCTCATTCCTTTTATTTCTGTTTTTAACGTTGTTTTGAAAATGCTTATCTTAACAAAAACTCTTGCATAAGCTTCTTACCCATTTGATATGATGGTGAGGTTGACTCATTTTCTCTAAAACTTGGTGCACAAAGTTTTAAAACAATGAATCAGGATGCAACCACATGTCGTTAAGAAGAAGTTGACTTTTCTTGCATAGCTATTATTACATAAGCAAATGCATATTATATCTCCATTTAAGTTTGATAACAATGTTGCCTTTAGATTTGTTTGATGGAACTGACAAACCTACTTCCGTTCATTTTTTTCCTTAGTTAGCCAAAGAGATTAAAAAGTTCAATTCATCACCTACTAAGAAATTTGGAAGATGCAGTTTAGTTAGTAAATAGTACAACAATTTTTCATTTTCAATCTCTCTATAATACTCATACGTACATTTGCACAGATTCTTATTGATGCATATTAAAGAATCATCATGTAAAGCTGAAGCATAGACCTTATTTGATGTATTTTTGTGAGAGAGTTCATGACCCAAAAACTCTACAGAGTCGTGTGATGAAAAAGACAATAAGATGCATGAGTAAAAGTTTCATTTGGAAATAGTATTAATTAAGAAAGTAGAGTCTAAAGGATGACTTGATATAGTTTCGCCTACTATCACGAGAAAAATAAAGTGCACAAATATGCTAGAGATAAAGAAAATACATTTTATAGAAGAATGCAAAAGAAAAATTTTCACCGCAATTGCAACATTAGTAAATTGCATTAGTCTTCCTTACGAAGAGTGGAAGTTGAGTCATCATTCTGTTTCTTAATAGTAGTTGATTACGTCCAAAGAATAACTCGGTAATTGTAGCACAGCTTTGGAGTGTCGATTCTACAGGGAGATGGAAAAATACTCAAGGGTTCAACAAATTAGGGTTTTTTGTGAATTGTTTGAAAATGATTTTTTTTTTCAAAATAAAATTTAATTATATCAATGGTGGTCTTTATTTTTGTCATTCTCCCCAGTTTTATGGTATTAGAGCCAGGTTAGTAGCAAGAGGATATTCTCAAACTTATGGAGTTGACTACTAGGAAACCTTTGCTCCAGTTGCAAAATTAAACATAGTGAGGGTCCTTTTGTCTCTAGCAGCAAATCTAGACTGGGAACTTCAACAACTGGATGTAAAAAATGCTTTTCTGAATGGTGACTTGGAAGAAGAAGTATATATAAAACTTCCTCTTGGGTTCGATGAAGCTAAGATCCAAGGAAAGGTATGTAAACTGGAAAAATCCTTATATGGGCTAAAGCAATCTCCACGAGCCTGGTTTGATAGGTTCATGAAAGTTGTATGTCAACAAGGATATAAACAAGCCCAATCTGATCATACTATGTTCTACACGCACTGAGGTGGAAAAATTACCATTCTAATAGTTTATGTTGATGATACAGTCCTGATAGGTGATAACTATGAAGAAAAGGAGAGATTGAAGAAAGCTCTTTCGACCGAGTTTGAGATAAAAGACCGGCCCTTTACGATACTTTCTTGGACTGGAGGTTTGCTAGAAATAGGAGTGGTATCTCTATTTCACATAGAAAGTATGTCTTGGATCTCTTAGGAGAAACAAGTATGTTAGGAAGTAAGCCAGTTGATGTTCCTATAAATCCCAATCACAAACAGGGGGATTGCTTAGGAAGTACGTCGATTGATAAGGGAAGATATCAACGTTTAGTAGGAAAGCTCATTTACTTGTCACACACTAGGCCTGACATTGCTTTTGCAGTTAGTGTTGTGAGCCAATTCATGCATACTCCAGTTAAAGAGCATATGGAAGTTGTTTATCAAATCTTGAGATATTTAAAAGGGACTCCTGGGCTTGGACTTTTCTTCAGAAAGAATTTTGAAAGGTCTATTGAAACCTTCACTGATGCTGATTGGGCAGGATCGGTAATTGATAGAAGATCTACAACAGGTTATTGTACCTTTGTGTGGGGTAAGAAGCAACCGGTTGTGGCCATGAGCAGTGCTAAAGCTGAATTCAGAGCCTTAGCACATGGAATTTGTGAAATAATATGGTTAAAGTTGCTGTTAGATGAATTTGACTTTAGGGAGAATAAGCCCATGAAAGTTTATTGTGATAACAAGGCAGCCATTGTAATGTCACATAATCCTGTCCATCATGACGGACTAAACGTATAGGGGTATGTTGTTGTTGGTAAAAGAATGAGAAGGCTTCTTCTATTGTGTTAGTCTGTCCCACTATTTATAATTAAAGTTAGGAAAACCTTAGGAAACTCTAGGTATTACATAAAAGACCTAA